GAACTTCATGTCCTTAACAGTGAAGGGGATGCTTGCAGAGAAGCGCAAGGAGGGACTAGAGGCAGAGTGCGACACCTTCTCTGATGGAGTGCATCGTCTTTACAGTAACTGCATAGAATACTTGGCGATGTGGATGGCATCTCTGCAGGAGTTTTCTTCCTTCACGTGGATGGCCCTAAGTGATCTGCCAAGCTGGAGTGATGTGGAAACATGTGTAGCATACTTAACTGAGAAAGGTGTGGAAATTGACAGTATGAAGTGTTTCATTCAGTTCAAATATCTGAAAAAATTTGTTGAATCTTCCAGTGATGAAGAAGAGTTCCAACATCTGCTTTCACACCAAAAATGGACCAAATATTTTCTGAAAGTCAAAGCCATTGCATGCTACTCAGAGCTGTTGAAAATTGCACAGTTCTTCTTTGCAATTCCCTCCCACAGTGTAAATACTTCTTTTGATTGATGCAAATCCTGTAGGCAATGGTAAAGACTTGCCTGAAGGATTCCTGCTCCTACAATTATAGAGACACCTGTTGCAAAGACATCTGTGCTTGATTTGCTCTAATGAGAAGTACACATGTATCCAGTGAGAAGAAACAGAAAAGGATGGAGATATATTTTTTTATTTTTAGTTTTTTGGGGGGAATTGTATAATGCTTTATCACATGATATTGAGATATGTGTGTGTGTATATATGTGTATGTGTGTGTATTAGTAATGTATATTTTTGTTTGACCCTGTTCCTGCCGTAGTGTGTTGGGCTTCAAACCAAGTTTCTGCTAGCACTAGAGGCTCTTTTAGTATCCTTTGCTGTACAAGCAGAATAAAAGGTTTTAATGAATGAATGTATAAATAAATACATGTAAAAGTAGTCCCCGGATTAAGAACACCTGGTTTAAGGACAACCCATAGTAAAGAACAGAGCCTATTGTAGCAAAATTCAAGTTAAGTACACAATGATTCAAGTTAAATACACAATGGTTTGAGTTAATTACACAGTACCACTTACATGATATTATACAATAGTACTGTTCCAGCTTACATACACGTCTGACTTAAGGACAGACCTTGGGAACAGAACTTGTTCTTAAACTGAGGACTACCTGTATTGCTCATAATTTAAAGTACAAAATTGTAAAAATTGATGATATAGGCTCAGATTGTTGGGTCAGGTGACTGTTACTGAAATCTACATGTAAATTATACAAATTTTACAGTGCAAATACATCTTTTTTGGAATCTGACATCTAATCCCTTTTTTTCATTTTTGATT